GAATTGAACACAATCTCTACCAAAATATCAGCTGCCATTTTTTTTCATAAATTGGCAAGCTGATCTTAAAATGCATTAGAAAACATAAGCAAACCAAAAGAGAAGAGGGATAAAAACTTTACACTACCTGTATCATAAACTAGAGTTTTTGTTTAAAATATTTAAATTTCTGGGCATCACCCTGAATTTCAGAATCACAATTTTAGGTGTGATGTTCAAGTATTTTTAAAATCTTCTAGTTGAGAATCATGTATAATCATAAGAAAGAGTAGAAGTTATTAGGGCTTCCAAGATTTTCAGTAGTATTAACTAGGAGATAGATTTTGGAAAAAACTAAAGAACATAAGCCATTGGTGATACATAGTAGAAAAGCATCAAGCCTTCTGGAATAAGTTACTGAAACAAATTTCCAGATATCAAAAAATTGAATTTGATATACAAAATATTAAATACCAGCTTCATAAATTTTGGAAACATTCCAAATGATAAAAACTTAGGTTGAGCTGTTTACTATACCAGTGATTAGTCACAAAACCAATTATCTCCAGTTCATGACAATAAAGTGAAATCATCAGAATAATAGATAATGCTTACTTTCCTGTTTACTGTGTTCTCTCTTCATCTAAGCTATGGCAAGGAGTGCAAATCACTGAATCATCCCCTTTCCATTTGACAAGATAAAAAAGCCCAGAAAGATAAAGTGAATAGGTATAGATGACAGCATGAGAATATGGTATTTCAGATTCCTAATCCACGGTGATTTTCATGCGACTTGTTTCCCTTTAAAGGTCTGTAACATAGGCAAAATATGCTGTATACATCAAATCTATAGTCATTTAAATCTATTTCCAAGTTTTAATTCTTATCTAGAACTAGTATATTAGCAACAATGCCTCTGAATGAATATTTAATTAACATTTATGCTGCTTGCCTAGATAATTAAATGGTTTACGTCTCTTTTGAAAAAATAGTTATTCATGAAAATTTGAACAGATGCCATTTTTTTCCTTCAAAAGTCTCCCTATCTCAGAGTATATTCTTTAAAAAGAGAAATGTATAGGCATGTCTACACACAACATCTATAGACATGCCTGAGAACTAAAAGTTTATGAGAGTTTCTTGATCTTTAAAATTTTTCTTTTGTCTTATGTGCACAGAATACAATTTGGAGAAAAGGATAGAGTTTACTTGGAACATGAAGTGACAGATATAATTGGTCTTGACAAAACTAAACTTTTCAATATTTGGTTTTCTTTCAGATTACTTAAGGTCACTTCTTTATGTACCAAATTATTTCATCAAATATTCTTGTGAATTTGTTCAGGAATTTTAACGATACTTTTTGGATACAGGGTTGTTCTCAAACAGCCAAAAACACATAGCTAAAACTATTTCATCCTAGGATAAAAATTTAAATGTTCAATTTCATGTGTATCTACAATTATTAATACAGTACCTGAAATTTTCTAAATAAATATTGGATGAATGAATGCTTTTCTCTTTATCTCTCAATTTACCATATTCATATGGTACATAATCAGCAAATGTAAATAAATATAAAATTGAAAACACACATAAAAATATATTAGAACATTTTAAATGACAAATATAACTTTAGACCTTGATTCATCTTACTATAAACAATATAATCGTGAAATGAAATCTAATTACTGTAAAGAACATATCAATTATAATGAATTGTGTTTATAATACTATTGTGCTGTAAATACTCTGGGATCAGATTTTTTTCTTTATAAAACATGGATTCCAAGTCAAATATTCATGGTATATTACAGAATCAGATTATTTCCAGTAATGTTATATAAGTACATAAGTTGCTTTTTGTGTTTAAACAACCTGTGACTATTTGAGTACCAAAGCAAAATGTTACTAGGAACACTCAGATATATTTTCCTTAGAATAAAGAATTTTAGTTTTATCCTAAGAAATGAAAACAAATTTTCAAGGTCCTATGCTGTAGTAGTGAATGAGATCAATATTTTCTTAAAAACAATTTTAGTCTATATTTCCTGTCATCTTATGGAACATATGTTCCCTAGAGCCTGGTTCCCTACAGTTTATAGTTCTGGAAGCATTATACAGTTACTTAAGTATAATGCCTTGATGAATCACATGCTAGGAACTACCATCTTTTCCTTTCCCTTATAAAACAATATGCTCTTATCCTGAAGAAAATAATATTAAAAACCTGAAAATTTAATATTATAATCTTCTCTAAACCTCTGCCCACCAAGCCAAGTGTGCCAGTGTTGAATTTTGTTTGGCTCCTGGAAAGCATCAATGAGCTTGTGTGTACTCATCTATGTAGAAATCTTGGAAAGTTTTTCTCAGTGAATTAGTGATGAAATGATTCTATGCCCAACAAATCCGAAAAATAAGCCAATATAAAAATCATATTAATGATGGTGGAATGAGTTATACATCATTACCCTAAGTACATGTATGAAGACACGAATGGTGTGAAAATACTTTGTGTACAGTGACTTGAAAAATTGTGCTCCATAGGTGTAATATGAAATGAATTGCATTCTGCCATCATGTATAACAAATTAGAATAAATAAATAATTTAAAACATTAAATATATAAAAAGACAGACTTAAAATTACTAGTTTAAACTTGAATCACAAAGTATGCCTTACTTAAGATTCAGTTTTATGTTTAATACCTGTAATACAGAAATTTTCATAGAGTATAGATATGTCTATGATAAAAAGGGAAGTACTGACTAAACCTCTAAATTATATACCGAATGGGTAAATGTTTGCCACAACTGTCTTTCTATTAACATTGAGAAGAGTACAAATTGATATTAAGTTTAGATATAAGAATGAAAATGTTGGCTTATAAAAAGGGTGTGCTTATCAAGCAGACTTTGTATAACACAAAATCAAATTATGGACTGCTAGAAAACACTGTTCCTTAAAACTGTACATGATTTGCACTTTTCACTTTCAGATAAAAGTAATTATCTCATTTGCTCAAGCAGAAGGATGACGTCTTAGTGCATATTTTTGTTGACAAACAGTGTGCAGTACAAATCATAGAGACAGCTTCACAGGTACTCTGTAGCTGTGTTATGAAAATAACAATGTAGTTGTTGTGATGCCTTACTTCTAGTGTTTTCTTCCTGCCTTTCTTCCTGTTCAAAGTTTCCTCTCCAGCACATTCTCTAAGTGGTTGAATTCCAAGAAGGGCATAATCCAACATGCTTGTCTTCCAATAAACTTTGGAAAATACCCTTTCTTTTCAAAGTATGAGAAAATGCTGCCACTGCTTTGTAATCTTCCTCAGGACTGTACTAGAACCTACCAGAGCACTAAAAAGAGGCGAGGGAAATAGAGGCTAGGTAAAGCTTTCATTTGTTATTTTGGCACTGGGTCCAGATGGATGTTTCAGTACATAATATTCCTTATAAAGTAGAATGATTTTTTTTCAGACCTTTCAGAATCGAAACCTATCAGAATTTCATTTGAAGGGTTTTGCCTTCTTTTCCCTGAAGCAATCTTCTCGAATGGTAAAGCGTTTACAAGTTTCTGTTTCACTCATTTGGGCTCTATAACTGGGGAAGATATACAGTAATTCATGCTAAAAGACCTAAAGAGAAATTTAAATTTGATTCAGCTAGTTATAAAGAAATTGAAAACTAAGTAAATAAGGCTCAGAGCTAGAGTATACAAACTCAAATGTATTTAGCATATCAATCTATTAGATAAAAATTTACCAACATAATAATTTTACTGTATTAGAAAGTAAATAGATGAAACATAAGAAAGTGAATATAAGTAGTAAAATAACTTTGATGAATAGTAAAAACCACTACATTTCTAATGAGAAATGTCTATGAAAAATAAGCATATTTTACCTGGTATCATCTTGTGACAATCTCCTTTGCAAATCCTCTTTATTCCACTGTTCTTTTTCTCTCCCTTGCTCAGGTATATCTTGTGTTTTTTCCTCGTCTCCTGATTCTCTGTTTTCCTCCTTATTACAGGTTTTTGTAATCTCTTTCCCTTTCCCATTCTCATTAATTCTTTCTTCCTTTACCACTTCCTCCTCATGAGCTATCTCTTCTTGCTTATCCCCTTCTTTCCCTCCCTCTTCTACTCCCTTTGGCCTTTCGAAAGCAACACAAATGGAAGGCATGCAAATAAACACAAGAAAAGAAAAAAGAAAAGAAGGTCAAGAAAAAACACGCACAAAATTAAACTAAAAGGCAATGAAAACTATAAAAACATAAATATAAATTATATCTTTATTAAACGTTGTCATATACTGGAAAAGCACTGAGTAAGCAATGCTTAATCATAATTGTCTTTAAATCATACTTTCCTTTCACAAAGTTACATGGGAATAGATAAAGGCTATGATCTCTCCATTACAGAGTTTAAAAAGATAATTTAGCTCAATTATGCATAAAATCTACAGGACAAGTGAAAAAATCAAATTATAATAACTTATATACTACATTTATAAATTTTCTGGAGTAGACAAGAAATTTTTCCATGTATTTATAAAAATTTCAGGGAAATGTGTAGACAACCTTCTAACAGATTAATATTCTTGTTTTCTGAATCACTGAAATGTATTCAGCTAGGGAGAAAAAGCCTCCAAAATGTTATTTATCATATTCTTTGGGACATTAAAAAATACATTTCTTCACTTCAGCCATTGCTTTAGTTTTAATCATGGTATAATAACCATTTAGTTTTTAAATTGAAAACATAAAATAATGAATATATTCCATAAAAATGAACTAATATCTAGAATGTAAAAATTGTTATCAGTTCCATAAATTTGTTTCTGTAAAAGATGCCTGAAATATGTACCAAACTAAAATAGAAAGTAATCTATACAGAAGTATCTATTGCTGTATTGATGAATATTAACATTTTAGAAATAAAAGATTCTATGCTTATCTCAAGAAAAATAAAGACCTAAACATTTTAGAAGAGTTCACTGCTAATGTCCCTTCACTCACCTGATTTTCTTGTTTCCTCTTGGTCGTTCTGATTGGACAGACATGTAGCTTGTGCTGCTGAAACGAGAAGCACTACTAGTCCTTGAAACCGCAGATATATCACTTACATCACTGTCCGAAGATTTAGTGGAAATATTATCTGCCCCTCTATGAGGATCCCATCCTGATCGATACTGTTAACACAGATTGACAAATACGCAGAAGTTGTCAGTATTACCACACAAAGCAATTATTACCTTTCTCCTATTTCAGCACTTTAATTGTCCTCAGAGGATACTGCAATATCCCACTCAGTTGCATATAAAACCAAAGTGAATGGTAATTATCCTAAAAGAAAAATTCAATTTACATGAAACCCTTGTTTTTAGCCAGTAATTAGAGCATTTTCACCACACCCCAATGAAGGCCATTGAAATAGCTTCAAAACAGCAAAGGCCTCAGGGAAGAACATTTAGGTAATATCTGGGAAATAAACATTTAGCTTAATATTACGAGGTACAACTTTTCAATTTCTGAATAAAAATTTGAAAAAAATATGAAAAGTTGTTGTAACTCATAAAAACCAATTCTAGTAGGCATCAATTTTTCTCTTTAATCCATTTTGCTTCACTGAAAACCTAGAAATAACATAAAATCTAATTATTAAACCACTAAGTGTTTTAGAAAAGCCAAGAGAAAAGAGAAAGTTTAATTCCTGAGAAAGTTGATGGAATTTTGATGAATCCTAGAAATATTAGAAAAAGTCATTATTATTTACAAAATTCAAACTTCCTGGAATTAAAATAATCAGAGAGTTAACCGGCACAGTTAGGGTGCAAGGGTGTTCTCAGGTGTTCAAATATGCTGGCAAATTGAAAACCAACATGAAAGTTTTATGTTAATTATCTATTCTCATAAAATACAATTAATGTAAAAACTAATGAACAAAACCTTGTTTTATTATTGACATCAAAAGAGCATTTGCAGAAGTCCTCAAGCTAGGATTTTAAAAGGATAAACCTTGGAGCTTAGATAACCTGGATTAAGAAAAACTCTTACTAGCTGGGTAAATTTGAGCAAATTATTTAACCTTTAAAAGCCTTATTAAAAAATAATAAGAATAATAATGTCTTCCTTGCATGGTTGTTTTGAAAATTAGAATAAATACATGTGTGATATCTGGAATAATGTAAATAAATGAAATCAGTGTTACTTCTGCATCATTACTACCTGGTGGTGCTACTGAATTCTCTCTCTGAATGAATACCAAATATAGCTATTACTGAGTAAAAGTATCCGCTAATAGATTTTTCTTTGTATGTATTTCAAATATAACACTGAAACATCCTTGTCTAGTCAGCTTTTGTAGAATTTTCTAGTCATAGATACTGGTAAATTTCACAAAGTCTGAAAAGATGATTAACTTATATAAACCACTTGCTGTGATTTGAAAAATTTTTACCCAATAAACAATCATCCAATAATAATAGTTCACTACAAGTATTAGATAGATGTAAACATTTTTGCCAAGATAAACAGAATGGTAACAATCCATAATTTAAACATTAGAATAGATTAAAATGGTATGTTTTTTTTCTCAGAACCTCCCACTAATTACTTACTTACTTTTAGTTAATAAGGATCTCTTAAGATCCTTAGTTAAAAGAATCTGTTAAGATCCTTTTCTTAAAATGTAAAATGAAGGGATTATTCCTAAGGCTCCATAATATTTTAGTAGTCAAATCCATTAATCTAGAAACATATATATTTTAATTAGATGATAACTGGCCATTCATAAACTACTTTATCTTTCTACTTTGTTAGATAAACGCAATTATCAATAAGAATACAATTAAACTATTTTAAAAAATTGTTGCCTTAAAAATGTTGCCTTTTCTCAGGAAATATCTGTTTAAACAGAATGATAGTGTTTATTTTAAAAAAAATATTTACCTACAGTAAACTTATTTGTACAAAATTTGTTCATGATATTCTTTTTCAAATAGTCATTTAAAAATACCCATAAAATTTAGTTTAGCCTTCATGTAGCACAATAAACATGTAATAAATTGTATATTAATATATTTTTCACAAATTTGGTATAAGTAAATTTGATCTCAAGTTGACAAATAAAAGTTTTAAGAAAATTTTCAAAGTTACTAAACTGTTCAGTAGATACTGATAGTTCATTATCTATAATAAAATATCTATTTATAATAAAAATAAATTTTCTCTGAAAATACTTTATAATTGGACAGAAACACAGTTTGGGTATTTCTCAATGAACTTTTATTCCTGGGAATATTATTTTTTCTAAAATCATTGAAAAACGTTCTAACTCTAGGAAGCAGTAGGGAAATAATGTAGTCAATAAGAGCCAATGCTCTTAGTGAGACTGAATCACTGGTCTAAACCCTAGGCAAGAAAAATTATTATGCTTATTTTCTTGGTTCAATTGCTTCTATGAGTCACTTTTTCATTTGTTAAGATATGGACATAACAACAGTACCCTTCTCTTAAGCTTGCTGCAAGGATTAAACATAATAATTCATGCACATAGCAAAATCTCTGACACATAATAAGTATTTAAAAATGACAAATGTTGACAATGATGATGATGATGATTAATAGTAGCTGAATACTGACATATATCAATTCCAGGGATATCTTCAGCTAAAGAAATACTAGATAAAGCACCCCAAAACAAATACAGTATTTTAAATCTGTCTTAAAACTACAATAAAAATACCACCATTTCTAAATATGCCCAAGAGATTTGTTTCAGAAATATGCTTAGAAAGAAATTTAAAATATTAAATCCAACTTTGCTACTAAATCCTAGTATATCCTTCCTCATTTCAGCCAGGTTACTCTATATTCCATCACTTTATAGGGAATCCCAACTATAGCATGAGGAATAGCTTTTTATCAGGAAACATATATAATACTTCTTGACTGACATAAAACATACCTCACTTTTAATGTTTGTCTCCACATTGTCCAGATATCCAAAGCCATCTAGTGCTTGTGTATCCAATGCTCCTCTGATTGGTTCTCATCTGATTTTTCTGGTTTGTCTTAATTTCTGAATCCTAATTGCTTACTTGCCTCTTTAATTTCAGTAGTTAAGTTCTGACTTTGCTTTTATCTTTTTAGGTCTATCATAACTTTTGGTACTGGTATTATGATTCATAGCAACATACAGGCTAGTTTAACGCTTAAGAATTTGTTTAGTTTCTAAAATAACACAAGCAGGGTTTGCATTACATATTTCTTTGGTGGAGAACTCTCAGATAATCCAGCTTATTGAGCAAAAATTTTAGATATTCAAAATTTAAGGAAAGATAAAATTCCTCATGCTAGTTTCATGCCTTTTATATAATCCATCAGATAACTACCTCTTGTTATAGGTGTGTGTGTATGTGTGCACATGCATGTGAATAGATTTCATGTTTAATTTTTCAAACCCTCTATTAGAATACATGCTTCTGAAGGCCAGGACAATATCTTCATCTTTGTATCTCTCTTATCACCTAAAAGTCGAATATTTAATTTAATTTAACTTAATCTAATCTTAGAGGCTTAGTCTTCTTAGTAGTACTATAAGGATATCTTCTGCCTTAAGATTCTTTAAATATATATATATTCAAAATACCCAATAGTCTGCTTAGCAAATAACAGATGTTTAGTTCCAGTTCATAAAGCACAAGGTCATTAAATTAAGAGGCATTGAATGGAACAGTTCATATGAAGAAGGAACAGAAATTAGCTAAAAGCTCTAGTTTGATGATATTCTGCTATCTACTCAAGGTTTGCACCAAATGCACACCTTGGTTTACTTGTAAGTAACAAAGAGTGTTTGTCACTGGAATATAATACAGGCTGCCACTAAAAAAAAAAGATATGTGATAAACAGAATAAGAAATTTTTAATGTGAGAAAGAACTTGTATGGATAAAAACTTGTGTAAATAAAATTATCAAGCCATCTATCTTGAACATATTTTTATAGCTCAACCTATGCAACTTAAACCTCCCACTAAAAGCCTAATAAAATGACCTAATGCTAGAGTTTACATTTGAAATGGTTTAATGTGTTTCTGCATTTACCATAATATGACAAACAAAAGTTATATACTATAACTATAGATACAAGGAGGTAAATTATTATTATACCAAGGTAATCAGGTATGAATGTGAATAAATAAAGTTATTTTTTTAGGAATTGGTTGATGTTATCTTGGCACTATACCTTAAATGCTTTAAATAATTAGCTGTACTATTACTCAGGTTTCAGATGAACAATGAATGATATGGTCATTTTTCTCTTTAGTGGAAGAAAAACAAAGAAGATTCATAATCTCAGTTGAAAACTGTTCCAACTGGAGATCATTAATATCTTGGACAAGATTGAAGAATCTTTCCCGACAACATTTTGATGTTTTGTACATTACTATTAAGCAGGTCATGAACTAGAAAATTTTACAGGAAATGGCTATTCTTCAGGATGTTGCAGACTCTAAGGAGTTTCTAAGTGGCTTGGAAAAGTGAATGTTCTTGTGGCTTGGAAGTGAATGTTCTTATGTATCTAAAATTAGTGGATAGTAACAGTGTCTCTGCAATGAAAATAAGGTTATTATTAAAATTTTAGGATGATATATTTGAAAAAAATTGGATTTCTGAAATAAATATATCATTTCCTCCAATATTCTCATTTGAAGTTCTTAGGTTAGGCAATTTCCTAGTTTAATTTTCCTACAGCATCTTATCAATTCAGGTTGTTTGACTTTTGTATGTGAATTAATCAGACAAATGATGGGGATAAGATTATGAACATTTATTCAGACACTGATTTTCTTCAATTTAAAAATTTTCACCATAAAATATTACATAAAACATCAGTGTAAGGAATTGATCATTGCAAAATACCACGCACTAAAAAAAGTCCAATTTTGAATGCAAGTAAATTTTACATTATCAAAAATACTTGGAGGAATCTTCAAATCATATTCAGGGAGAGGAAAAACAATGAGTTAATTGAAAGATGGCAAAAACTAAGTTAAAGCATATTCTTTGTAAGAGAGTAAAGGAAGGCTGAAGTTTTGAGCAAGAATCTTGGTATCACTCTGGGGTATAAAGGAGAGAACAGAGGGAGAGGGACTTCTACACTGCAATCAACTAAATAATCCTGTGAGC